GTTTGAATCTTGACAAAGGCAAGGGTTCCTGCCAGAAACGTTGATTGATTGCAATGAAAATAAAATCTAGTTCCACATGTAACATATTATTATTGAATCTAAACCCAAGAAACATTAATTTATATTATATATATATATAATATATATATATATATATATATATATATATATATAATATATATATATATAACCGAGGTTTCTACAGCCTCTGCCGCTTCTCGCATTTCGACCGCCATCGTTCTCTGTCCATCCATTCGTCTTCTTTGATGGCTCTATCTCTCATTAGGTGTCGTACATTTTCTTCCCAGGCAACTGATGGTCTTCCCCTTCTTCTCTTCTTTGTTGTGGTATGTAATTTAAAGCTTTCTTTGGCCATCTATCTTCATTCATTCGCTTCACATGACCATAACCACACTAGTTGTCTCGTTTCAATTCTGTCTACACTGGAATATACAGTATTTGTCCTCCTTCTAATATCTTCATTCCTGATATGATCTTTTTTGGATACACCACACGCTCTTCTTAGAAAATCCATTTCTATTACTTCTATTCTTTTTCTACCTTTTTTCGTGATAGCCAAACTTCTGCCCAATAAGTCATAATAGGCTCTACCAAGGTTCGATAGATTGTCAATTTTGTTTCTTGGCTAATATCTTCAGACCATAGTAGAGAGTTTCAGAATGTTAACCGCTTTTTTTCCCTGCTGCGTCCTGTTTTCGATGTCTCTTTTGGTAGTGCCTTCTTTAGATATTATAGATCCGAGATATTTATATTCATTGTATGTTTTTGTGTTTCTAATTTCTAACTTTGGATCTTCTTCGTCATCTTCAATTTTAAGATACTCTGTCTATGACATATTCATATTGAGGCCCCATTTTTCATATTCTTTCTTTAGTTTTCTAAATATGTAGTCCATGTCTTCCTCATAATTCGCTATGACTACCTGCGAAACTTCCGGGATACTTGTTTCCTCCACTGCTCTAGCGATGATTGAATATATATTTTAAATAAGGTCGGAGATAGACAACATCCTTGTTTAAGCCCCTTTGTTATTGGAAATGATTCAGATATAAAGTTTCCTTCTTTAACGACACTTCTTGCATTTTTGTATATATTTGCGATAGCATTCACATACTCTCTACTGAGACCTACTTTCGTCAATGTTTATAATATATAAATATAAATATATATATATATAAGATATATATATATTTGTATATATGAAAACTACTAAGTTCTCTGGAGAATTTAAAGCTCGACGTTTCGGCAGCCATTATGGAGCCATTATAAGAGGGATATGGTTCCATTCGAATTAGCGGTCTCAAAAATAAGTGCTATAAACGTCAAGTTTTAAATTCTCAACGTTGTTCTTCCCGAGAACTTGGTAATTTTCATATACCTGACCGCGGAAATTTTTGCGTAGTCCTAACTTAGGCATTTTAGGTTCATAGCTTAACATTTAGTCTCCATTCTTTACAGTCAATTTTTCTAAATGTCCCAATTATCTTAATATTGATGCTTTTATAACTTCTGATATCACAGGCTCTTAAAAAGAGTCATGATCTCGGCATTGATTCTTCTTCTATGTATATACCTCCCCTCCTTAATACCTCCAAAAATTCTTCTCAATATTTTCGTTTTGAATATATTTATTTTTTCTTCTTTTATTTGTTGTAGTACCCATGTTTTACTTGCTTGAAGGACTTTCAAATTTGGCTCGTCTCAACGCATTTTTAGATGTAAGATTTTGTGTAAAAGTCCTGCCTTAAAATCTCCTTTTTGTATTCTTATGTACGTTAGTTCACAGGTAATTGAAATTCTCAACTTGTTCTCTCTTGTTCATTTAAGGGTGCTGTCTGCATTCCGCAATGAGCTAACGACGGCAGCTCCCTGGGAGGATGCACTATGTGTCAATTGTGCTATGAGACTTGACTCGCCCTCCTATTCTACAGATACAGAGTTGAATGGTCAATCATACATCATAACGTCACCATATCCTTGGTTAGGATAACGAATTGAGGAAGAGGAGACACCTCTGCAAACATTATATTGGAACCAAAGTGCCATAGTTCAAATTGATGGGCAATATTCAGAAGAAATGAAGATCTATAGAGGAGTTAGACAGGGATGTGTTTTATCGCCACTTTTGCTTACCTTATATTCTGAAGAAATTTTCCAAAACACGCTCAATAATATCGAAGCGGGAGTCACCGTTAACGGAAAATTCTTACAACATAGCAAGCATGACGACACTGTGATCATAGCAACGAGTATAGGAGAGATCTCAACATCTTATCGAAAGTTTGAGTATGAAGTAGTGTTGAGATGGGAATTACTATAAACGCTAAAAAACGAAATATATGCTAATTACAAAAAGACCACATACTGTAGAAATAAACATGCGAATAGAGATTGCCAGATCAGCATTTATACGAATGAAGCCACTTTTAACGTGCAAAAATCTAAATTTAGAGATCGGAATACGTACCATTCCGCTGTTATATATTTTCAATATTATTATATGGAGCTGAGACTTGGACATTAAAAAATGCAATTTAAAAAGAATCGAGGCTTTCGAACTCTGGTTATACAGCAGAGTATTAAAAATATGTGATGGATTCGACCGTTACTTGATGGAAATTCATTTTTGTTATGTTATGTGAAACATCAGATATTTATCAGAGATTATATCAGATATTTTTTATGGATCATCTAGAGACAAAGATTTCAAAACATCCCGTATTCAAACAGTTGTTTTTATATTGGTATGTTTCACAGGACTAACTGACGACGTACTGGTATGTTTCACAGGAACTAACAGGCAACTCGACCAATTTTTATCGTATATTAATTCACTTCATAGTCATATTGAATTTACAATAGAAAAAGAACAAAATCAATTCATAAATTTTTTAGATTTAAAAATTAGCAGACTTCAAAACAAACATGACTTCTCCATATTTCATAAACCTACCCACACTGACACGACTATACACAATTCATCATCCCATCCAACACAACATAAACTGGCAGCTTATCTTAGTATGTTACATAGATTAACAGAAATTCCGATATCAAAAGACAACTTTGAGACAGAATTAAATATAATTAAGCAAATAGCAGTAAACAACGGATACAACGAACAAACAATTAATAAAATGTTAAATCAAAAACTACACAAGAAAGCCCTGAAATTAGTATTTCCACCACCCAGAAAAAAAACCCAGTACCTTCTGCTCGATTACATATACAGGCAAAATATCAACAAAAATTGCCAAATCACATAAAAAAGAAAGGAATATACACCAGCTTTCCGAACAAATAACAACCTAGGCAAATATATTAAAAATAACAAGAGCCAAAATAAAAAACACTTAAATAGTGGTGTGTACAAACTTCAATGTGGCGACTGCCCAAAAACTTACATCGGTCAAACTGGTAGAAACTTTGATAAACGAATAGCAGAACATAAAAGGGCTTTCAAGATAGAAAAACAGATTCGACATACGCACTTCACCTTCTAGATCATAATCTATTCTTTTAATGACAAATTTAAAATTCTTCACATTCAAAATAAAGGCCTTAAGCTATCTTTGTTATAATCTATGGAAATCAACAAATTAAAAAACACACATATAATTCTGAATGACCAACTTGAGACAAACAGTTTTCCCCTCCTCAACCTACTTCATTAGAGACTATAAATTTGTAAACCCAAGCCAAAAATAGATCACTTGAGAAAAGCCGAAACAGCTGTAGTGATAAGATTTAAAATAAATTTTGTGGAAGTTTGAAAACAAAGTTTTCAGTGTTTTATTGTTACATATTAAAAGTATCATGGACTAATAGAATTACAAATAAAGAAATACTGGAGAGGATTGGTAAAGACACAAAACTAATCACCACTATACAAACCAGAAAACTGGAATACCAAGGCCATGTGATGAGGGGACCAAAATATGAAATTTTGAGACTTACAATTCACAGGAAAAGATTCAAGGAAGAAGATTCTGTTGGCCGAAGGCAGAACTCGATGGTTAAATAATCTACGTGATTGGTATCAATTCAGATCGATTGATTTGTTTAGAGCAGCAAGTTCTAAAATAAAAATAACCATTATGATTGCCAATCTCCGTAGGTAGATGGTACTCTAAGAAGTCTTCTTCTTAGAGTGCCGTCTTCCTTCTGTTTTATTGGGTGTCCATAACTGTACGATTGTGCTGAGCTAATTAGAAGATGGATTTAAATTTGTTTTTAAATGTTAATATAAAATATGATACTGTTTTGCATGTATGCATGTTAGAATATTGCATTTTTTTATTAGAATATATAAATGGTGACGTAGGATTAACTTTGCTAACTTAGGTTATATTATTGTATGGCATTTATGGCCCGAGTTTAATTACGACACAAATAACAATAAATCCTATAATATAAATTTTGGTTCCTTCTACAAATCAGATTATAACATTTTGACGGATTCTGGACAACCCTTGTAAATCTTTAGAAAATAGAGTATCTAAAAAGAAAATACAATATTTAATATTTTTATATTACACATATTTAATCTAATTTAAAATTCTTGTTGATAATTGAAGTTCTTTAGATTTTACCAATTGCGGAATACCAAAAATCTTCGCAATAACTATCGAAAGGTCGTCCTCGAAAAGCAAATAAAATGTGGGAACACTCGTCTAAAAATAAAATTTGTAAAACAGTGCATAATGAGATGAGGGAGCTCTTCCTGTACTTTAATTGAAACGGAAACGAACAATCGTGTCGGCCGCGACAAACTCGCGTGGCCTGCTTCACTTAAATTTACTTACTGATAAGGCCCGGGATACAACAGCTGATTACGCGAAAGTTTTTGAGAATTTTCGAAAAACCGAGGTGCGATTTCGATTGGAAGCGTCTGATATTAGGGGGCTCGTTGCGCGAAGGAAAAGGACGGATTGTGATGCTGTTAGAGAGTGACAAGTGGCCTAGTTTCGATCGCAATAATGAGGTGAGAAGAATTAAGTAGGACGAGACAATTTATTTTTTATTAATATTCATAATATATGTTTACCGAAAAAGTTGATATTTCTCCTCTCTTTAAATGCTGGTTATAGGTTAATTACAGTTTCAAATGTATCTAAAACTATGTATCTTATCTCTATTTTCTCATTATAATCTTTATCAGGAGAAGATAAAAACTGAGTTTATTAAGTTAATTTGTTTATACTAATTTTTGCTATACTTTCCCTAATTTTTTCAATGGATTTGTCCTTGACGTCCTTGATTCTCGAAACTTTTCAAAATACTGTCCCAGCTAAAGTTAATATTTGTAATTAGATAGAAGTCATAGGCATATTTAAGAAATAATAAAGTTGTTAAATTACATTATGAACAGTTCATATCACAACTTAGTCAATATTCCTGTTATATAAGCGTCATTACGGTCTCTTCACCGTTTAATAAGTTTACAAAATTTTCTTATTAGGAATATCTGGTCTGGTCTACAGTCCGAAGCTTTGGTTACATTTTATGCCTCATAAAATATTACTTCAATTATGTAGTCAAAAGAAAACAAAAAAAAACTAATAAATTAACCGATCGAATTTAAATATCACATTTACTTTTGCAACATAGAATCATTGTGTATAACATACTATAAAAATTAATTCAAACCACTACCATCTATGGAATAGACGGAAAACTCTATATTGTTTTTTTATCCATAGTTGTTAAACAATCTCCAAATGAGTTATAATCAACAAATTTTTCATATTTCAAATAAGAAATTGACCCAAATTCTGCCTCCACTCTATAATATAATCTTACTTTCTGGTGTTTTTCTTTATCTTCTATAATACATACATATATATATATATACATATATATATATATATATACATATATATATATATATATATAATATATATATACGTTTATATATATATATAATATATATATATATCATATATATACGTATATATATATTATTATATATAATATATATATATATATATATATAATATATATATATACGTATATATATATATATATATATATATATATAATATATTTATATATATTAATATATATATGTATATATATGGACGTTGTTAAACAGAAAACCTCCAACCAAAAAAAAGTAATTGTTGGGAAATTGAGTTTAAAAAATTAGTGTGCCCTAACTAAAACTATGCATAATATATGCATAATATATTCGTCTGGCAATTATTTAAGATCATGATATTCATCTTGTAGGACCATCGTCTCTATTTTTTTTTAATGTAAGTTTGAATGAAGATAGTTTGGAAATTTTAGGTTGAACGTTTTTAACAAAAAACAAAAATCGAAAAAAATTTCGATAAAAACATACTTATGTGGGTTGGAATCTTTCAGATAAATAAATAATATCATATTTTTATTATATTTTTAATGATTCCAAGAAACACAAATTATAATGTTTTGCTTGTAAATTTAAAAAAGTTTTAATTATTGTGGGTATCTACCTCAAAATCTAGAACTGGAACATTAAATCCATCAACGTCTTCGACTACATTAGCACCTATAAAATTTTCATAAAATGGTTTAGCGTCTGAAGGAATTAGATGCTTTTAATAGCTTTTAATATCGTTAATTTTATCCTCTGACAGGGCTTTTACCATTGGGCCAGAGTTGCATAAGCAGCTCGAAAAGATTTCATTTTGTTAATATAATTTGTTTCGTCTCCAACTAATTTATTTTTTCTTCTTCTCCATTCAAGTCATACATAGGAATAACTCTTAATTGCGTTTTCCTGAAAATACACCCAGATTATTAAAAGCAAACTTGTCTCTTATAATATATTAAATTGGTTGGAATTCTTGGTAAAGGTAGAGTTTTTTGAAGATCATATGTATAAACATTCTATATTTATCCTCATCTTTAGCTAGTGTTAAATCTGCCTTTTAATGTTTTTTCGTGATTTTTGGGCCAAATCCTGATGAGTGTCGAGTTCAATTTGTAAAAGTTGCTTTTTATGATCATCCGTTTTTTTTGTAGTTTTTATTTTAAATGAAATCACATACCTGGCATGTGTCCTTCTTGGGACATTAAAATCTCAAATTAAATTTTTCATAAATACCAAAATTCACAGGGTTTTGAACGTCAGTTTTTGTAATAGATCATAAATCTTTAATAATGAGAGATGTGCCGGTAACAATCAAGCAGACGTGTTTTCACTACAGTAGTGCGATATTGTACTTTGGCAGGCATGAAATAAATGACAATTCACCTCAGAGATTCTATTTTGATTAGTTTGATATTATCTGTTTCCAGATGTAGTCTTATCCATATACCACTATTTCTTATAGTATAGAATATAGTATATAGTAGTTTTTTCTCAAAACATCCTAACAGGTTTTAATTAATCTTTATTCAAGAATCCAAGATAATTTCCAATCCAATGGATAAAATCCATTGATAATTTTTCAAAGAGAGTTGAGCCCAAAATAGCACCTGTTAACCGTACCAATGTTGCGGATTATCGCTAAATCTGTACTCTGCTCTCTTTTAATAGTTAGTTTTAAATATTATTATCTGATTATTATCTGATGTGATATTTCTAGGTCTCTAATAAGATATCATCTTCTTTTACAGAGTTGTATGCTGCACTTTGTAAATGTTGTATGGTATCTGTTGTTTTTTCTTAAGTTTTTCTCTAAAATTTAAGGGGAAAGATTTAATGAATTGTTTATTTATCACATATGAAACCAAATTGGTATTTCTCAATTATTCTGTCTACATATTAATTATACTACTATTGTACATTTATTACATTATTTATTTTACATAACTCCTCTATGGAAGATAATTTGAGACAATTCTCCTTTCTTGTATATGGTGCAGAATACTCCAATATTACAATTGTGTCGCTCAGAAGCAAAGTGGCCCAATTGATTTTTTTGCATAATTGAGTTAGACAGTAAACAGGTGGCATTTAATCATTATTTCATGTGATTTTGTTATGGAAAAGTGAACAAACCGAAAAAAAGGTGAAGCAAGATATAAAAACTACAATGGTTGAAAATACAGTGACTCATGTTCAATAGCAGAAGAATGTTATTGCTGAAATACCTACTGAAAAACTAATATTAAAAGACTGGAGTTGAACTTGAGTTTCTTAATCATTCTTTTAATGCTAAAAATCTGAGGCATAGAGCGGCAATAGATGATAATATTGGATAGGAAACAGATCCAACAGTGACCTTAGTGAAGTTTGTGTTTTTTTGTAAATTTTAACGTTTGGCAATGTGGCCCAACTAACTTTTTTATAAACGAAATTTTTGTTAGAGTTACATAAAATATAAAATTCCAGGAGTTCTTTTTATAGGTGAATATAATAGTACTGCTTACTACAAAAACTGGTTTTATATTTTTAGTTTAATTCTTTATTTGCCATTGTCTCAAAATGATAATTTTACTCTTAGGTCACTGTGCTTCTGAGTGACTCAATGACTAGAAAACGATTTATGTCTCCGATCTAGTTGGATTCTAGAATTTTTTGCAGTGGGTTTTTTTATGAGCAGGCCCTACGTCCCAATCTCCTATCAGGGGAACCAAGATTTTCTATTGCTTTGTCAATAATATGGAGTACAAGGAAATATAGCGACCAGTCTGCCCTTGTAAACCAAATAGCTACTTAGGGTCGGAAGAAACCAGAATTAGCTGAGACAGACTGAAAGGAAAGATTAAAGACATTTTACTCAAAACAAATTGAAACAGAGTGAAATGTGAAGGTCCTTACGATCCGTCAGGTGCGTTTTATAAGCGTATAGGTATTAATACACTTTTTGTTCCCGTTGTACCTCGAATTGTTGAGACTACGGACTGTATAACTTGTCCAGCATGCCATAGCATGAAGGGTAGGATGCACGTCATTTTTTCAATGTAGACACCCTAACTCTATGGCCCGACAAATCTTTACTTTTTCTTTATATGGTGAAATAATTAAAAGAAGTAATAGTTTCAACTACCTAGGATTACAGAGTAATAGAGAAATAGATGAAGAGGGATGCAATAACGTTAGGTCAGATGGTTAAAGGGCATGTAATGTGGATGGAACAAATGATCCAGCTAGAAAAACGCTCTTTGATAGACTCATTGTTCAGAGAAGAAGAGGAAGATCCAAAACAAGGTTCTTGATAACATCGATAAATATATAATAAATATGGGAATACGTGCTTGGCGGAGAAAGGCGATGGACAGGGACGACTGGAGAGAAATTCTGAGGAGGCTAGGACCCACACAGGGTTGTAAAGCCAGAAAGATGATGAGATGGTTGAAGTGGAAGAAAGCGAGTAGTGTGTTGTGTGTTGAAAAATTCCAATGAAACTGAAAGAAAAATTCTATAAAACTGCCATAAGATCAAAAATGATTTAGGCAACTGAGTGTTCGGCAGTTAAAAAGAAAGAGAAGCAACAAGTTCATATGGCGGAAATAAGAATAAGGTCGATGAGTGGAGTGAGTCTAGGGGTTGCTGATCTGCTAGTCCCTGAAGTACATGTCGGTAAAGAGAATTTATATTACATTCGTATGACCCAACATAGAAACTTATGGAAAAATGTAGTTCCGGTTTAAAATTAAGCGTGTATATTTTTCGTTTCATTTGATTTGATCTCACATGTCTTAAAAATATATTTATACTTTATTTTGATACGCTTGTAAATTTAATTATATTAGTACTTTATTATAGTCGTATATTTAATTAGATTAGTAATATTGGTACCTGAAGGTAAAACTTAAAAATTAACTAGCAGTACCACGACATAGTATACAAAATATCAAATCAATAATACACCAAATTATAACTTTTCAGTTTTTAAATCGCTACACTCTACTCTAATATTATTTGGTCAACAAGTTTAATTTTATTTTAGGAAGAAGTGTCCGCTTCGTCGAAAGATGTACGAAAGTTCGTGTTCGTATCAAGGAGCTTTGGAATTAAAAAGAAGTGCATCAGCAACATGCCCCTTGGGCATTAAAACTGAAGATTTTTCCACTGCTTCAGACTGGCCAGCCTACAGGTTCTGCAATCCAAGTACCTTCGAACAACTAAAGCAGAGTGTAGAGAAAGCCAAGGCTGCTCTTCAGGTAAATTATTTGCTTTGTTTAGGATGAATGCATCTTAATTAAGAAATTAAGTTGGGAGCTTGCTTCTTTCTCTATTTCCAGTTTCGATTGATGGAAAATGATCATATTCGTAGATCACTTCTGTTTAAGTTATACTTCCTTATACTCAAATTTTTTCGGTTCTGCCGTGTTGATCAGTAAAGAAAAATATATAAAAATAACCTTTTAAATCTGGACGTACATAAAAACATTAAAGGTTTCATATTTCATAGAGCGAGTGCAAAACTAAGGTAAATGAAGAAAGAAAGAAAGGCTTTTATTATCTACTATCTTAAGGTAAAAAATATCAATTTTCCACAGGGAGGATAATTTTGGAAGAAGCTAAAAATGAACAAAGAGATATTTCGGCATATAAAGGGCAATGAAAGGTCCATATTCCTCTTCACAAAGATTTTCACAAAGAAAAACTATTCTTAAAAATAACAAAAGTCGTGCAATGTATAAAACCAAATTCTTTTTTTTATATTCTGGTTGTTTTCGTTCTTATTGTCCCATGTCTTAGTGTTTTTTGTGTTTTTAGTTTTATAATCTAAATGAACTCACTCCACCATAAATTAAGTAACCACAGTTGAATAGAGCATTCAATAAATAATTTCTACTAGGATAAGATCAAATAATATAAATAAATTAATAGATATATAAATATCGTAGGCGGTCCGATAAGTACGTAGCCTTACTAAGCCTCAAAATCTACTATAATTTCATTCATTACATTCTCGTAGACAGGTAATGTCAAAATTTCAGCAGAATCGGACTAATAGTTTTGTTTTGACCGCGCGTGATAGCAATATCATTCGGTGATTCGATTTTTGTTTTTGGAAGGGAAATCGCGCAGCAAAATTAAAGAGCACTTGGATGCTGTGTACGGTGACTCTTCTCCTTCGATGGCAACCCTCAAAAATTGGTTTAACGAGTTTCAACGTGCTAGCACGTCGGTTTTTGATAAACTATGCTTCGGTGTCCCGAAAATGGCTACCACGGATGATAACGTGACAAAAATCCACGATCTCGTATTGGCAGACCGTCATCTGAAGATGCGCCAGATAGCTGACACACTATACATCTAAAAAGACTGCGTATATTAAATTCTGCATGAAAATTTTGGCACAAGAAAGCTGTCGGCGCGATGGGTGTGGCGTTTACTCACTCCGGACAACAAGCGCAACCGTGGGACCACTTCAGAGCAATGTTTGACGCTATTTAAGCAAAATCCGAAGGAGTTTGTACGTCATTTCGTAACTTTCGACGAAACTTGGATCCATTTGTATACATCAGAGACCAAGGAACAGTCGAAACAGTGGACGGCAACCGGTGTACGTTCTCCGACGAAGGCCAAGACTGTCTTATCGGCCGGAAAGGTGATTGCCATCGTTTTTTGGGATTCACAGGGGGTGATCTACATCGATCACCGGAGAAAACAAAACGGTCACAGGGCTCTACTACGATACCCTACTCTAAAAAAACGATACCATTTGGCAAAGAAAAAAGTGCTTCTCCACCATGACAACGCACCGGCTCATACCTCCGCCGACGCCATGACGAAATTGATTGAATTAAGCTACGAACTGTTATTCCATCCATTGTATTCTCTAATTTGGCGCCATACGACTTTATTTTCAGACTTGAAAAAGACACTGATAGAAATTTAAGTCGAAATGAAGAGATCTTTGTCAGCCACGGAAGCCTACTTTGTAGACCTCGAGAAAGCAGATTAAAGAAGTTGGAGCTTATTTTCAGATGGGTTAAAGAAGTTGGAGCATCGCTGCGTTGAGAAAATTACGTTAAGAAATAAATCGTCACTTTTCCAAAATTTTCGTTTTTCTTTGGTAGGCTAAGTACACATTGAAGTATATGACAACGTCGAGAATGGACCAACAATAACAAAATCAGAAGTAAGATCTGCTATAAGTCGTCTAAAAAACAACAAGCGCCAGGAACTGATAGAATATATGCTAAGGTATTAAAATTTAATAAAACACAATCAACTTGACATTATGACAGAATTATTTAACCGTATATATGAAACAGGAACTTTACCAAAAATTGGTACATGTCCATATTTATACCATTGCCAAAAAAAGAAAATACTAAGAAATGTAAAGAACACCGAATCATTAGCCTCATGAACCACTCACTCATATTCTTAAACATCATCCATGCTCGCATATACAAGAAATTGGAGGAAGATATTGCTGATGTACAATTTGGATTTCGCAGCGGTCTTGGCACAAGAGAAGCACTTTTTAGCATACAAGTATTGATACAACGAGCAAGAGATGTTAATACAGATATTGTATTGCCTGTTTCATCGACTTCGAAAAGGCATTTGACAAAGTACAGCATGAAAGGCTTATTGAAACTTTGCGAATCGCAAATATCGATGACAAGGATATAAGAATAATAGCCAATCTCTATAGAAAACAAGTAGCCAAGATTCGAGTAGACAATCAATTATCCGATGAAGTCCCAATACAAAGAGGAGTACGACAAGGTTGCATATTCTCGCCTTTGCTGTTTAATGCGTGCTCTGAACATCTATTTCGAGAAGCTTTGGGAGAAACGACTGATGGCGTGATTGTTAACGGTGAAGTAATAAATAATCTAAGATATGCAGACGACACTGTTCTTGTTGCGGATAGTGCTGAAGAATTACAAAGACTGATAAATCAAGTAGTTAACATCGGTAGAAAAACCAAGATACAGATGCAAAGTTTATGGCAGACAATGAGGTATTGGATAGAACAGAAAAAATAACATACCTAGGATGCAACATCACAGACAGCTGGAATCACTCATATGATATTAAATGTAGGATCGAAAAAGCAAGGAGTGCCTTCCAACAGATGAAGAAAGTTCTCTGCAATTTAATCTTGAACTTACATCTCCGACTCAAAATCCTTAATTGTTATGTGTTTTCTGTTCTTATGTATGAATAAAGGGAATGGGCATTCACTGATGCGTCTTGCAGACGGTTTCAGTCTTTCGAGATGTGGTGCTATCGTCGCATGCTCAGAATATCATATGTACATCATATAACTAACGACGCAGTAATGCAACGTTTACAAAAAGAACCTGAAGTCTTAAAATCCATTAAAGAGAGAAAGTTAGCATACTTCGGACATATAGTGAGAAGTGAAAATAAATATTTATTTTTCCTATCCAGGAAAAGATTGTAATAGCGACCATCAATTTTTATCAGCTGAATTCCGCATGAAGTTAAGAAACAGTCCAAAAACAGGAAATACAACAACTAAATGGCATCTAAGATATAACGATCCGTACAAAAAAGCCGCAATGCAAAAGCTATGTGACCTCAAACAATCATTAAATCCAGACGAGTCCTCAAACAGCATATGGACAAAAACAAAATCGATATTGCATAATGCTGCGAAAAATATTAAGAGTGATAGAGAAGAAAGAAGGAAACAATGGATAACGGATTCCACGTGGACTAAAATACAGGAGAGGAAGTGCTTAAAAGCCACAGGACTGAACAGTGAAAGTGATAAAGAGGCCTATAAAGCGCTGAACGGTCAAATAAAACGACTCTGCAAAAAGGACAAGAACACACACTTGAACAAAATCTGCATGGAAATAGAAGGGCATAAAACCAAAACTGAGACCAGAGACATGTTTAAAAAAATAAAGCAGATAACACGTTCCTTTACACCAAACTACCCTGCTATCAAAGATGATAACGGAACTCTACTCACTTCTAAAAAAGATATTTTACACAGATGGAAAGAATACTGTGGACGACTGATGATGGAGGAAAGCACAGACGCCCCATCACAACAAGAAGATGCCAGTTTTGCGACGGAACCTGACGTACTCAAAAGTGAAGTTGAAGCAGCAATTATGAGGCAAAAAAGTCAAAAAGCTGCCGGTCCAGATAACATACCTATTGAAATGATTTGGGCACTAGATGACGTTGGAGTGGATATAATACATCAAATTTGTCAAAGAGTGTGGGAGACAGGTAAATGGCCTGAGGACTGGACACAATCACTATATATTCCCATACATAAAAAGGGAGCGAAAGATTTATGTAGCAACTATCGCACAATTGCTCTAATTGCGCATTGCAGTAAGATACTCTTACACATAATTCTCGAGAGGATAAAGCCCTTTTTACTACCTAACATTGCGGAGGAACAAGCAGGTTTCGTCCCAGGACGTGGTACTAGAGAACAAATTTTAAACGTACGGCAGATTGTAGAAAAATCCAGAGAATTCAACATCACAACATATTTGTGCTTCATAGATTATAGTAAAGCTTTCGATTTGGTCAACTGGAGTAAAATGTGGCAGGTTTTGTCTGAAATGGGAGTCCCTAATCATCTGATACTGCTAATTAAAAGCCTGTACAATAACAATTATGCCAGAGTTAGAATAAATGGGGAACTAACTGACAGTTTCAGGGTCACAAAGGGCGTGAGACAAGGCTGCATACTAAGCCCAATTTTATTTAACATCTATGGTGAATGGATAATGCGGAAAGCTACTGAGGACTGGAACGGTGGCATCACCATTGGCGGGAAGAAGATTTGCAACTTGAGATATGCAGATGATACTACTATCCTCGCTAGTTCTGAAACTGAATTGATTCACCTGCTACAACGGATAGAAGACGTAACCTTATCGATGGGCCTTAAAATAAACAGGATAAAACGAGAATCATGATAATTGACAGAGCTAACAACAATCAAAATCATCTGGTTAGGATAAACAATATCGCTGTTGTAGATAAATTTGTGTATCTGGGCTCATTAATAACCAACAAAGGAGGCTGTACTGAAGAAATAAAGCGGCGGTCAGCAATCGCAAAAAGCGCTATGGCAAAATTAACAAAAATTTGGAAAAGCCATGAAATTACTACCGATACAAAAATGAGACTAGTAAGAAGTCTAGTTTTTCCAGTTTTTACTTATGCATCGGAATGCTGGACCCTTACTGAGAAAGACAAAAAGAACATAGATGTATTTGAGATGTACTGCTGGAGACGAATGCTGAGAATACCATGGGTGGCCCGAAGAACAAATGAATCCATACTGGTCCAGCTAAACATAAAGAAAAGACTAAGAACACAAATAACAGAACAGATAATAAGCTATTTTGGACATGTGCTTCGAAGAAATGGTCTTGAAAAACTTACCATCCAGGGAAAAGTAGAAGGCAAAAGAAGTAGAGGTAGATCTCCTACACGATACACGGACCATATTGTTGCTACCATTGGCGCTCCATTGTCAGAATGTGCTAGATTGGCAGAAGATAGAAAAACGTGGAGGAACATTGGAAAAATTACCTAACAGCTTCATGATATCACGATACCTGCATCAGGTTAACGACTAAGAAGAAGAAGAAGAAGAAAATAAATACAGAATCCTACTATTGATATTAGAAGAGATAATAGAAGGAAATAGAGCACCAGGACGACGCCAAATATCCTGGCTTAAAAATATGAGAAAATAAACAAAATTTTTTGTTTAGGTCATCAACATCCTCTCAAGAAATATTTCCACCATCAATATGCGAAGAAGTATATTCTCGATAAATACGAGTAGTATCTCGGTTTAAACAAGCTTATTCTCGTAGCATGCTTACCATGGACCATATTCCTATACCGTTATTGATTAAGTAACGTTACAAGCGACCTGACGATGAGCAAACAATCGTAGTGCCGAAAATCGGTCGCCACTGACTGTGAGTAAGTCTTGAATTTTCTTTCTATTTACTTATTTAAAAATGGACTTACATCTGTAAACAACTTATCATTTGATTTTTTGGACCAACCAGAGGACTCTCTGGAGTTTTTATGACTTATATTGTATATTGATCCCTTAAACAGTTGCACTTCTCCGAGGAAAATCTTTTTTGTAATATTATTAAGCAGTCTTAAAATGGTTGCTACGAAATTCATTTTAATCTTGAATAAGCTGTAGTAAAGGAGCCATACTTGAAAGCAAGAGAACATGGTCAGTTTTTCTGTGTACACACAACGTTTATAAGTACACTAAATATGAAACTACTTTAGTGACAGTGCTATACAAAAGAAGTGGAAATGTCGACGTAGTCAAATTCGTCGCGATCCTGCAAATTTGCTACTATTTTTCTGTGGGTTTTTTAAAGTTTTGCAACATCATTTATTAACTTTAAAATATATACTAAACGGTAATATTTTTGTTTTAGGACCGAAGTAGTTTTTTCGGTAACGGTAGTGCTTTCAGTGACTTGTATAATGTGTCCACAGGAAGATCGCAAGACAATATTCAAGACAGTTCTAGTAGACTAAGAGACAATAACGAAATTGATATTAAAAGAAGTGGTAAGTCGTTTATTTTGCTCTGAGTGTTGTAGTAGAACTAGTATTTATTATATTTATAAGTATTAGATATAACATATATACGATATGCATGTAACTTATTAAAAATGTAATGCAAACATATTATTGCATTATAATAATAAATTAATACAATATTAATTAACTACAAATCCTACAAATAATAATGGTTTATGTTAAAAATGGACGTCACAACTTAAAAATAGATAGGAGACATATAATAATTCGCAAATCATTCCTATTCGTTTCTAGTAGATTTTTGGATATCTTCTTCGAAGGTTCGAACATGCCAGTGGTTACGAACAAGTAAGGTAAGGAAAATTTTGTTTTTAACCACTGGCAACATTGAATTTTCGTAACAACACAACAAAACTCATTGAACTATAAATCAAACGTATCGAAATTTTAAAATTCCAAAGTGATATTGGTGCACGTAAATGTCTAAACTAAGCTTTCCTCTGGTCATTAAATTTGTTGTAGTTGTCGTTTTCCCCAAAAATTTTTTAGGGTTATTTCTTTCGCATGTAGAATTGTTTTACGATCAATGCCTAGGAAGTAGGCTTTTTTGTTACTTTCTTGAGTTGTCTCAGGAATATTTCATCACCATCATCATTGGTACTACAGCCCTATGAAAGAGCCTCGACCTTCTCAAGTTTATTACGCCAGTCAGTTGTATCCATTGCCAACTGTTGCCAGTTTGTTGCGCCTATTTTTCTACCTGAGTTTTGGCCTACCTCCACTTTTACTTCCCACAGGTTGTGACATAAGGATTCTTCTAGAAGGGTTGTTCTGCTGTGATCTTGCCAGATGTCCTGCCCATCTTAGTCTTCGTATTGTTATAAAAGATACTACATCTTTACTACCAAATATATATTTATATCTCTGATATATCGCGTAGTTGTACCTCCTTCTCCAAACACCATTTTCACAGGTGCCACCGAATATTCTTCTCAGGATCCTTCGTTAAAATGTAAGCAGGAGGTTTTCATCTGCCTTGGAAATGTTCCATGTCTCCGGTTCATGGAATCCATGTCTCCATGTCAACACTGGTTGTATAAGGGTTTTGTATATGGCTATTTTTGTTTTTTGGCTTAAGTTTTTTCTTCTTATATGTCTACTCAATCCAAAATAGCATTTGTTTATTGGATTATTCTTCGCTTGATTTTTTCCGTCATGACGTTCTCCTTGGTGATCAAGGAGCCTAAGTATGTGAATTTGTCCACCACTTCAAATGTAGAGTTATAAACAGTGAATTAATGGCCGATATTTCTGGCTCTATTGTTGGGTGTTGATGCCAATATCTTAGTTTTCTCCTCATTTACTTGAAGGCCAATATTTTTTGAGGCATTTGACAAGGTGGTATATATTTATTCTAGTTTGCGTGTTGTGCGGGCAACTAGGTCAACATCATCTGCATATGCCAAAATTTGGAATGATTTATTAAAAATGTTTCCTTTGTTGTCTATTTGGGCATCTCTGACTGCCTTTTCAAAGCTATATTGAAAAGGAGACACGCCAGCGCATCTCCCTGTCGCAGCCCAACATGTGTTTCAAATGCTTGTGATTGTTCGCACTGTATTTCAACTTTGCAAACAACGTTACGCATTGCAGCCTTAACCAATCTTATGAGTTTATTGGGGATGTGGAATTCATCCATGGCTTTATACAATTTATTTCCTAGGACACTATCATATCCGATTTAAAATCTACGAAAAGATGGTATGTGTCGATATTGAATTCATTGGTTTTTTCCAGTATTTGCTTTAGCACAAAGATCTGGTCTGTTGTTGATCGAGCAAGCCTAAAACCATTTTGATATTCGCCAACAAGCTCCTCTGAATATGCACTCAGACGACTATATAAAATACTCGAAAATATTTTGTATGCTCTCAGGAATATTTACTTTTTCAAATTTGTTGTTTAAAACTTTTTATGAAACGTTTCATGAAACGTATAAAAGTTTATTTCAGTTTTTAATTTCTACTACTAATCTAATAAATTCGGGACTACTAGTCTAAAACAGTTCATCAATTAAGTCCCTTTCAGGCAGTAATTCTAGTATTCTATATTTTTAAATATTTAAGCTTGTTTTCAGTAACTATGGGTATGCCGTATTAGGCTGTTTTACAAATGCCGTTATCTTGACTTGAATATAAAGTTTTACAAAAATATATTGATTTAATATTAATTAGGATGTTGAAAAGTTTAAGATATTTTTAAATTTATAACACTTTCAGTTGAAAATAATTTTAAAACGAAAGAAAAGTTCAGTAAACTGTACTCCCTCTTGAGAATTCATTTGGCAATATTTGAACAACGAGCATAAAAGTATATAAAACATATCCAAATATTTATGTTAGGTTTTATTTGACAGCACCAAAAAGTAGATAATTATCAGTATAATCGTATCAATTTCCTAATGATATCAAACCAACATTATTAAGATTAAAAAATACCATATTTTTGTTTATACTTATAATCTATATCGTTAAATTTAAATGTTAAAAATGTAATCTAGGTTCATTTAGGTATAAGATAAAAAAAATTAAACCTTGCTACCAATTCTCAAGTTAAAAACAAAATACATCTCAAAATATCCACAAGAAGACTAACTAGCAAAAGAAGAACTAACTGACCCTATTGAAGCTGGCAATGGGATAAGACAGGAAGATTCGCTGAGTACTCTATTGTTCAACCTGATTATGGTTGAAATATTAAAAAAGTAAGACTTTACAAAGGCTATAAATTAAAATAATCTGCTATGCAGACGGCGTAATATTACTCTCTCAAAGTGAAGATGATTTACAACGTATGCTGCACCAATTTAATATAACCGCCAGAAAATTGAACATGGTAATTTCCCCAAAAAAGACAAAACGCATGGGTATACCAGCAAATTTAGTAGGATGTAAATTGGAGCTGAAAGGTCAGATAACAGAACAAGTAATAAAGTTTAAAAATCTAGGCTTCACATTATTAAGCAATGGAAAGCTCGAAACGAAAGTAAAAGATCAAGTGAATAGATCAGGTTGCCTAAATGAAATAATATGGAGAAATACAAGAAAGAAATGTAAGACAGAATTCACACAACAGTCATCAGACCAATAATGACATCTTCTTCCTCTTAAGGTACCTTCTCCATTACTGAAGGTTGGCTATAACTACAGCAAATTGCTCTCATTCTTGAGCTGTTCTTAGTATCGAATGTGTGTCCATGCCTGTCCAGTCTCTTACATTCTTCAACCATGAGCATTTTCTTCTTCCTGGACCTCTTCTTCCTTCCAATTTTCCTTCTAATATAAGTCGTAGGAAACTGTATTTTTCTCCTCTGTTGCTGCTCATTCATTCTTCTTTGGCTTTCTTGATTTTGTTTCGGATGATTCTCTGTGTTTTTTTATATTTTTCTTCATTACTATTTTTGTAAGATCTCCTTATGTCCATCAGCTCTAGGACTTCTTCTGTCATCCATGTATTCTTTGTTTTTCTGATGTTGTCTTGTAGTTGTTCTCTTTGTATAGTTGAGATTGTTGTGTGTCAAATACTTTCTATAGTTTCTTCTGCTTCCACATGTGCTTCACTGATTGAAGACAATTTCAACAAGGTGGAAGGAGCAACAAGTGAAGTAGGGCTGAAGATTAATGAAGAGAAGACGAAATATATGTGTATAAATAGAACGACACGAAGAGACAGAATAGGATAAAATGTCACGGTCAACACCTTCAATTTCGAAAGAGTACAACGTTTTAAGTATTTGGGGGACGTAATCACAGCTGACAACGATGTCACTGAAGAAATAAAAGGCAGAATCCAATCTGCAAACGGCTGTCTATTTGGACTGGATAAGCTCATAAAATCAAAAAATCTCACAAGAAGTTCAAAGATCAAAATCTATAAATCCATCGTCAGACCTGTAATAACATACGGATGCGAAACGTGGACAATGATCAAAGCAAAGGAAGAAAAGCTCAGACGCTCAGACAGAAAAATTTTCGGACCTCACCATGACATCACCACAAACCAGTATAAGATCAGAACCAATGTCGAATTAAAATCACTCTACAACGACGCCGATATTGTACAAGAAATTAAATTAAATGACAGCGACTAAGATGGGCAGGCCAGGTGCATAGACTGCATAACGAAAGACTTGCAAAACTGGTATGGGAGGAGATTCCCACAGGCAAAAGACCACTCGGACATCCCAGAATGTGATGGAGAGATAACATCCAAGGAGATCTCCGGAAAATGAACATTCCATTTGACCCTAGGTTGATGGAAGACCGAACAAATTGGAAAAAAGTTGTACAGTCAGCCAAGACCCACCCAGGGTTGTAGCACTACGTGATGATGATATTACTATAAATCAGAAAAAAAAATATTTAAGAAATGCCTATTACCAAAAGAAATCCAAAGAACGAAATTTTTTCCGTGAGGCCATAAAATAATTTTAGTACTTATTGGCCCTTGGCTCTATGAAAAAAAAAGAAACAATATTTTAGATTCGTTGTTTAATTTCCCTCTCTGTCCTCCTTCTCCGTCTTCTTTGTCACCCTAAAGTGTGCCAGTGTACTTCTCTCTCATCTGCTTCTCTTATGCTTCTCTTATTCTTTCGCTCCTTTCATTATTATGTTTACTATGTTTCTTTCATCCAGCCTGAAATCCATTCACCTCTCGAAGTCTCCCGTCTCATTTGCACATCTCTGACAGTTAAAAATGCAAGCCAAAGCGTCCAGCACCTCACAGTACAGTCCGTTGAGGCAGATGTGCCTATCCTATTTGTGAAGGTGCCAAAACTACCATGTCTGGTCAGAAACCGCGTCAGGAAGTAGTCTAGTTTCCTGAACTTAAATTCACACTACATTCCAAGAGGAACTTAAAGCTGTTTTTTCGTTTGAAATTTTAAAACGCAAAACGTTAAATGCTTGTGGGAATTGTATACAACCCTATACGATAATTTCTGTTGAATGTTTTGGACTTCTACACAA